ATAAACCTTATTGTTCCATCATTCCTTTCCTTAATTAAATTTACAGCTTTACTTAGAAAAACTTACTCTGAATCAGAAGGTAGAACCTGGGAGTTAATCCCTTTATTTGATCATTATTCTGCATTTGTCCAAAAATTCAGCTTAAAGTTTTCAACTGTTGCCTCCGCCTCCCGTTTTAATAATAATTGGAAAGTATAAACAACAAATTTGCAATGCTAAATTGGAATGTTAAAGTGGCAAATACGATTATGCTGGACAGCCTTCACATTTTCAGCAGAATGCCAAGACATATCCATCTTTCATTTTGTTTTCAAAATTCTATAATTACATTAATAAATCAATGTCCCCGCATTTCATCATTTTTCTCTACCACTTAAACTATTAAAGAGTTAAATAGTAATTTCCAAATTCATATTCTAATAGATGACAAAAATACCATCAGAAATACTCAGGCATAGTTACGTGTAACAGTTTGCACACCATTAGTAAATCCTAACTCTGAGAAATAACATGGCTGTGAGAAAATGACGATTATACAAACTTTGCAGCTGAAGTAAATGTGCTGCTGAAGATCTCCCTCTATCCCCCTACAATTGATGATTAAATAAGGAAGAGTTTTGTTTAAATGAAAATTGAATTGTAAATTGTGGTGAATAAAGCCCACTTAAATTCAGACCCTTTGCTGATTTGGTGGCTACTAATGAAATTTGCTGAAAATGTTTAATACTATGCCAATACTATGCACTATGCCAATTATCATATTCCTCTGAGAGGTTAAGTAGAAAATGAATAGCTAAGCATTTAGGTAGGGAAAATTATGTAATGACCACTTCAGTAACTTTTAGTCCCCACCCTGAAATTCTGTACATTCCTAACATTCAAATTAGGAAACGCAACAGTTACAATGGAGTTTAGCTGAGTGTAGAATCAAGCAAATCAGCAGCATTTGTAGAAATAAAAAAATTCTAGTATAAAAATTCTAGTATACTATACAATTTTTAAATTAACAAGGTGCTATGTTTTCATACAGCTGTTCCACTGTGGTAACCAATATTTATTTTAGGAAAAATGGAATTGTATGAAGTACTAAAAAGTAGTAGCAGCAAAGGAGGGAGGAAATTCCATGTAATGCTTAGAATGTCTGCCAAAAACAAACTTTAGCAAAATAGATGAAAACAACTCTCCTATTAATCTTTGTCCTCATTGGCCCTTTGGCTTTTCTATTCTTCCCTTGTAAACTTTATTTTCCATGTCCACAGCATTCAGTTCTAAGTATACACAAATCTCTTTAAGGTCCGCAAAAGCTGTATTTTATAGAGGTCACGTTTGGATACTTAAACAACAGGTTTTGGTTTCTTTTTCAAGTCAAAACTTATATTTATAATAATAATCCTATATATGTATGTGTCTGCATATACATATAACATTTTATGCATGCCTCCCTCTCCTTCTCCCTCTGTGTATTCACCTGAAAGGCCAAAATGAGTTTAATTTAAACTAAAATATTATTATCATTTGTCCAAAGAAACCCATCTAAGGCTTTCTTCATGTATGGCAACCAATATCATTAGAGCATCAGTTCTGGGAAAGATCTACTTGATAGTTTACATTGTAACAAGAAATTATTACAAGAGGATAAATTTTATTGCATAGAGTATGAAGCTATGCAGCCTGGAAAAAAACAAGTCTAATGATTTGCAGATAATCCACCAACGGCTGGAAAAGAAGGCAGAAAGAGCAATGAGGGTTGAGAGAAGAAGCTCCCTTCTTCTAGCGTTCTGGGGGGAAGGCGCAACGCAGCGCTATCAACAGCGCGATCTCAAGCCGCTTTACAGCTGTAGCGCGGCTAGGAAAAAAACGGCAGAGGAAAGAGGAGGAGGGGTGGGGGGGGGGCAAAGGGCTCCAAACCCCCTATTTCACCCCTTAAGGAGCGAAAAAGCTCTTAAATTAAATTTGGGACGAAAACTAAAAGCGCAGGGGACAAGGAGAAAGGAGTGATCAAACCTGAATTGAAGAAAAAAGCGAAAGGAACCTGGATCGGCCAAGGAATAACGAACAAGCTGCCTGTCTCTAGCGAGGCTGAGCTAAAACTGGGGGAACGCATGGAGGAGTCACGTGGAGGAGGAGGAGTGTTCCTCAATTATAGCTCAGCCTGTTAGAGTGAAGACTGGAGCACCTCCCACTATCTGGATGCTCGCAGCAGCTCCACTGAGAACATTTAGTTCCAAAAGACTCTCTGGAGTAGTTCAGATTTTTAATGCTTTTTGGAAAGCAGTCTAATGTCCAAAGGGAGGCTATTCCATAAAACTTTCCCAAAGAAGGCAATGGAAAACCATGTTTGTATATTGCCAAGAAAGCTGTATGAAAGTATCTGAGAAGTCACCAGGAGCTGAGATAAATTTGAAAAAGATTTTACTGTTTAATTTTATTTACAGCTCCCAAAATATTTTACAAATTAATTGCCACTCATTTTACACACTTCTTCAAATTTTATTTTTCATACAAAACGTCCAGTATAGGAAAATAGATGTTCATTTTCAAAGAAATTCATCCAAAATTTCATGCAGACTTTTGACTAAAATGTTTAAACTGATGGGTTTATGGGAAGAATTAGTGTTGTCTGTTGTATTTGTGTATTCTGTAAAATTAATTTCACTGCTAAATAGATCTTTGCTGTAATTTTGGATATTTACAATGTAAGCTGTAATCGTTTGGAATAATTATTAACTATTATTTGCTTGCATTTTATTTATCAGACGTTCTGTCATTTGAACAAATATTGCTATTAAATCAATTCAAAATTTCAATTATTAGAAGATAAAAAAATTTATATGTGTCATTTGTCATTTCTATACAACTGTAGAGCTCCTATGTTGTACAAACTTCGGAGAATCCAGAGGGAAAAAAATTACTGGTGGATGGAAGTTTGACAACAAAAAAGTAATATTAGAACATTTTATTCTCCTGACTACTCTATTACAGATCTCAAAGTACTGTAGCTATTTTGGGAAAAAAAGGAAAATTTACCAGCACAATTGAGTAAGAGACTGCCAAAATGACATATGTCAACAGTTCTATCTGAACTTTGTTACATTTTTTTAATTTAAAAGTATAAGCCTTTCAATAAAATGTGTTAATCTGAAAACGGTGCTATCAAACTCCCTTCGCTTTTTGTCTACATAGAATGCACCCCTTCTAAGTGAAACTGCATTTGACTTATTCTCCCAAATAAGGATATATCAAGAAGCAATGGGTAGAAGCTTGTCAAAGAGATCTAATCTGGAACTAAGGACAACACTTCCCAACAGTGAGAACAATTCATCCATGGAACAGCTTGCCTCCCAGTGTTATGGATGCTCCATTGTTGGAGGTTTTCAAGAAAAGACTGGACAACCATTTGTCCAGGATGGTATAAGACAGGGGTATCAAACACGATTTCATTGAGGGCCAAATCAGGATTGTGTTTGACCTTGGGGCTGGGATGGGTGTGACCAGGGTTGGAGTGGCCAGCTCGACGTCACTTGTGTCGGTGGTGCCTGTGCCAACAAAAATGGGTCTGCCAATGAAAACGGGTTCCAAAGCTCCATTTCCGGCTGCGACGGCCTCCTGGAACCCTCTGCCAGCAAAAACAGAGCTCGAGAGGGCTGCATGCAGCCCACCTGAGCTGTGTTTTTGCTGGCAGAGGCACCGCAAGCTGGTCCCTCACTATTTCTAGGGTGGGCCCGCTGGCCGGATCTAGGGACCTTGAGTTTGACACCCCTGGTTAAAGGTCTTCTGCCTTGGGCTATGGGGCTAGACTAGAAGACCTCCAAGATCCCTTCCAGGTCCATGATTCTATTCTATTTTAATATATAAAAGGTCTCAGTTAATAGTGCACAATATTTAAAATAAAATCTTTTTATTTTGCTGAGTCAAGCAAAATTGACTGTTATATTTAAAATATGATTTTCTTCCTACCAATCTTTTTTTTTAAACATTTGAACAAATTTTAAAACATACATCAGTATATTTTCTATATATGGCGAGAAACAGCATTTCATGCCATGTGAAGCAGGAGGATGGGAATACAGGCAGTCCTTGACTTACATCAGTTCATTTAGTGACCGTTAAAAGTAACAACAGCATTGAAAAGAGTGACTTATGACCATTTTTCAGGCTTATGACCATTGCAGCATCCTCATTGTCACATGATCAAAATTCAGACACTTGGCAATTGGCTCGTATCTATGACAGTTGCAATGTCTGGGATCACACAATCATGTTTTGTGACCTTCTGACCAGCAAAGTCAATGGGAAAGCCCGACTCACTTAGCAGTCATGTTGCTAACTGAACAGCTGCAATGATTCATTTAACAACTGTGGCAAGAAAGGTTGTAAAATGGGGCAAAAGTCACGTAACAAATGTCTCACTTAGCAACAGAAATTTCGAGCTCCATTGTGGTTGCAAGTCGAGGAATACCTGTAGTTGCTCTGTGGGATTGTATTATAGGCCAATGCACTGTCGGTCCCATATTCCAGAGCTGCAGTAGTCACAAGACTGGCCCTTTGGTCATCCTGGAGCAGTTCATCCATGGCAGGCTGGTGCACAGGCCAGTCCTGTGACTACTGCAGCTCTGGAATATGGGACTGACTTTCCCACCAACGTCAGCAAGCCACCGTCAGTCAAAATTCATATGAGTGGTCCGCGGGATTTGAAATTATGAGTTTGGTAGTCCCTGAGGTCCAAAAGGTTGGTGACCCCTGCACTGTTGGATATGTGTATATATCAGTTCTATAGTTTTATTTTACTGTTTCTATTGCTAGTCAGAGTTGAGGCTGGGCAGCCCTTCTGTATTACATACCATAGCTCTCTACCGAGATCAGGCCTAGGGATTTGCTTCTTTCCTATCAGAAGGCTGCAGCATGACTGTCTTTTCTAAGTCAAGAATGGGCGTTGGTAAATTTACCTGAGAATGCCCTTTCTATCTATGCTGCTAGAGAGCCTAGGATGGATATGACTCCTCCTGATGACATCATCAAGCTGAGTTTGTCTAGTATAAAAGTAGCAGCCTGTGGGAGAACCCCCCCAGCTTTGGCGAAGATACTTGACAGACTTTAGTGAGTGTCTCTGAAAGCCAAAAAATATCGTGAACCATAACATACCTTACCGCAATCCGGATGCAACAAGGGAGGGGCTGAGCTCTGTAGCAGCATAGATAGAAAGGGCGTTCTCAGGTAAATTTACCAATGCCCATTCTCCTCCATGCTGCTGCGAGAGCCAGGATGGGACATACCAAAGCCTTCATGTCCTCGGGAGGGTCCTCGTCCGGTCTCTCACTCCGAAGTATGCACCACTCGCTGAAGAAACTGTTGTGTCCATAGAACTGACTGAAGTTCTCAACCAGGTCCGCAGTCTGGCGGGAGCGCCGATCGCTCCCATTGGCTGATGCCGTTTGACAGCCGGCTATAAAAGGAGCTGTCAAACGGCATCAGCTGTTGCCGCCAGCTGATCTGCCTTGTTAGCCTTAGGCAGCCGCGGCAACCCTTTATTCGTTGAATAAAGCCTTGAAACGAACGCTCTGAGTCTGCCTCGTATCTCCGCTGCTCTACAACAGAACCTGTCTGCCAAAACCCGTGCTTGTGGAGGCATAGGAATCCAGGCGGTAGTGTCTGATGAATGGAGACAGGGATGTCCATGGAGCTGCTCTGCAAATCTCCTCTAGGGGTGCCTGGGTGGCCCAGGCAGCTGAAGTTGCAGCACTTCTAGTGGAGTGTGCTGTCAAGCCATGTGGTACTGGCAGAGCTTTGGCTTGGTAGGCCTGTGCAATGCAAGCCCTGACCCACCTGCTTAAGGTGGCAGGAGGGGCCTTGTTCCCCCAGTGGGAAGGGGAAAAGGATACAAACATAGCCTCTGTCTTCCTAAACATTGAAGTGCGTTTGATATAAATTATAAGAACCCTTCTAACATCTAAGGTGTGCCACTTGCGCTCTAAGGAATGGTGTGGACGGGAACAAAAATCGGGAACTACTATGTCTTGGGATCTGTGGAATACAGAATTTATTTTGGGAACAAAGGTAGGATCTAAATGAAGAACAACTCTATTGTCATGAAAAGTGCAGAGGTCCTGCCGTATAGATAGAGCAGCCAACTCTGACACCCTTCTAGCTGAAGTGATGGCTATTAAGAAAACCACCTTGAAGGTCAAGAATTGAAGGGACACCTTTCTGAGGGGTTCGAAGGGAGGTTCTGCTAGGGCCTGGAGGACCTTGTGAAGGTCCCAGTATGGGAACCTGTGAACCACAGGAGGGCGGAGATTGGAAGCCCCTTTTAAGAATCTCTGAACTGAAGGATGATGGGACAAGGAAAGAAAGGAATCCCAGGAGATGACTGAAGCAAGAGCCGCTACTTGACGGCGTAAAGTGTTAGGAGCCAGACCTTTATCAAGGCCATCCTGGAGGAAACGGAGGACCTGTGGTACCCCCGCTACTGTAAGAGAGAGACCTTCCCTGTGACACCAATGACAAAAAACCCTCCAGGTGGCATTGTACATATGCGTCGTAGAAGATTTGTGAGATGCCTGGAGAGTAAGGATGACCTGGTCTGGGAGATTGGCTTCTCTTAACAGTTGCCACTCAAGCGCCACACAGTCAATTTGAACCACTGGGGATCTGGGTGGAGCAGTGTCCCCTGATGTAGTGAGATCATGTGGTCTGGAATCCTACAGACAGGTTCACCAGATCTGCAAACCAGGGTCTCCTGGGCCAATGGGGGGTTAGGAGAATCAGCTCTGCCCGTTCCTCCAACATCTTCCGAATGACCACCGGAATGATGGGAAGAGGGGGAAAGGTGTAAAAGAGACCGGTGGGCCATCTGCTCCAAAGTGCATTGGTCCCCTCCGCTCCCTGACAAGGAAACCTGGTGAAAAATCTATTTACTTGAACGTTTGGGGGAGAGGCGAAGAGGTCTAGGTCCGGTGTCCCAAACCTGAGGGAGAGATTCCTGAAAATGGACTGGGGAAGGGACCATTCTGCGTGGTCGACTGGGCTCCTGTTCAGCCAATCGGCTTGGGAGTTGTTGACTCCTGAGATGTGGTCTGCTGTGATGGACAGCAGATGTTTCTCTGCCCACCTCACCAACCTTATGGCTTCCCTCATGAGGGCTCTGGACCTTGTGCCCCCCTGCCAGTTGATGTGCGCCTTTGCAGCCATGTTGTCTGTCAACACTAGCACACGGGACCCCACTATCCTGTCCCTGAAATGTTTCAGGGCTAGATAAATGGCTCTGAGTTCTAGCCAGTTTATGGGCCCAGTCCTGTCTAACTGGGACTAGATCCCTTGAGCCATGAGACCCTCCATGTGGGCTCCCCAACCCAGGAGACTTGCATCGGTGGTGATGATCAGTCTGTCTGGTTCCTTGAATGGGAGACCCTTCAAAAGGGCTGGGGAAAGCCACCACTTGAAGGAACAGTGGACCTCTGGAGAGAGCAGGACCTTGGCAGATGTGTGGCTGGTTCCTGCTCATTGAAAGGGGATCAGGAACCATTGTAGAGCCCGTGAGTGTAGCTGTGCCCACGGAACGATGCCTATGCATGAGATCATTTTGCCCAAAAGTTTGGACAACAGCGACAGGGAGACAGTGTGTTGACGTTGGACCTGTCGAATGATCTCGATAAAGCTCTGCCCTCAGGCTGGAGACAAAAACTTGGCACAGAGTTGTGTCGATGATGGCTCCCTAGATGGAGCAATCTGGTTGTTGGAAAGAGATGGCTTTTCTTGGAGTTGATGGAAAAACCGTGGTACTGGAGTCAATGGAGAGTGGTTTGAAGATCTTGATGGGCAGAGAGGGTGGAGGACGACAGGATCAAGATGTCATCCAAGTAGCATTGGATTCTCACTGGAACAGACCGGAGCAAAGCCACCAATACCGCCAGTAACTTTGTGAAGACTCTTGGGGCAGATGAGAGTCCGAAAGGAAGGGCCCGATACTGGAAGTGGGAATTCTGGTTACAGAAACGGAGAAACTGGCGATGATGAGGCCAGGTGGGAATGTGGAGGTAAGCCTCCCTGAGATCAGTGGAAGAGAGGAGATCGCCCTCCCGAACGCTCTCCAGAATAGAATGCAGAGTCTGCATTTTAAACGCCTATATGGGATAAACTCATTCAGAAATTTTAGGTAGAGAATGGCTCGCCAACCTGAGGCCTTAGGGACCACGAAAAGCCGAGAATAAAGCTCACGTCCACATTGTAATTCAGGGACTGGTTGAATGGCCCTTATATCGACCAGATGACTAATGGCCAATTCCATAAGTGCCTTTCGTGAACTGTCTTGGGAAACGGGGCAGAGTAGAAATTTTTCTGGGTGTGGTGATAAAAATTCTAATTGTAACCCCGACCTTACTGTATTGAGTACCCAGGCGTCTGTCGTTGACTCCTCCCATCTGGAAGAAAGGATGCCAAATGACCTTCGATGGGAGAGGAGAACGAGAGATTATTTAGAGCGATGGAAGGAGCGACCCCCTCCCCCACGAAAGGGATGTTTACCTGCAGCTTGATGTCTGCCGGTAGCCTCATGGTGTTGATCTTGACACTGAGAATACGCTATCTGAGGTCTGGAGAAGTGAGAAGCGTTTTCGGGCCTGAATGAGGGAGGCCAGTATGGGGTAGGACAGAAGTCTGCTCTCTTTCCTGTTGATGAAAGGACTTTCCTTTTGTCTTTTGTTTCAACAACAAATGGGTCAAGGGCATCTCCAAACAGCTTCTCACTGGTACATGGGGCAGTAGCTAATTTCCACTTCCGTCGAGGCTCCGCTTGCCAATTTCGTAGCCATAGCAGTCTCCTAGCTGCCACTGATGACGCCATGGCCCTGGAAGAGAACTTGGTGGCGTTGAGGGTGGCATCCACCGAGAACTCTGCTGCTGCTATGATCATATTGAGGTCTTGATGCCACCTACAGTCTGCTGGAGGTATGCAGCCTTGAAGTTGGCATAGCCGGTGGATGGAAGACCTTGTAAAAAATGATGCAGCAATCGAGGCCCGGATGGTTACACTTCAATGTTTGTTCAGAGCATTTGTCCTCTGCCTTTAGTACGTCCTCAGGCTCAGTTGGAGTGCTTGAGGAGAAGGAGGCCACAACTGGGGCATCTACTGGGGGAACTGCCAGAGCCATAGCTAAGGAAGGACCCACGTTGTAGAACTGCCTATCTTGGGACAATGGGCAGGGGCCTGCAGTGGGGAAGGCAAATTGTTCCTTGACTAAGTCAAGAAAGATGATGGGGGAAGGAAGGACCTCCAAATGAACAATGGGTTTGGAGAACAGGAAATCCCCATGCCCTGATTGTACCACTTGATGCTCGGGGGCAATTTCCTCTGCTGACAACTGGGCTGTTACCAGTGCCTTGTGTAGGAGAGGTTTGAATAAAGCGGATTTGAATACAGAAGCTAAAGGAGGCTGATCAGGCCCCAGATCTCCCTCTCCCTCCGAGAGATTGGGGTCCCAGATTTCTCCCTCTTCCAGATCAGAATCAAGGGAGGGGCTGCACTCAGATGATTCCTCATACTCTCCCTGAGTGAGGTCCACTCCTTCCGCATAGGTAAGATGAATCCTTTATTCTACATGGTGAGGTAGTCCCCTTTGGGGAATCTGAGCTAGAGGAAAAGCTGGGAAGGAAGGCTGAGGTCTGTCTGAAGGCCTGAAGATGATGCCATCTAAAATGGCCACTCGCTACTTTCTTTAGAAAAAGAGGCTTTCAAAATGGCCGCTCGCCACCTGCAGTTGAAGAAGAAGCCTCCAAATTGGCCACTCACAAGAGCTACAGGCTACTCAGGGGTTAAATCGCTCCCTAGGCTGTAAACAGCCCCTAATGGCGAAATCGGCAATAAAGTGAAAACTGCGGTTTTAACGATCAGCTGAGAGGCGCTGTTATCGCCGATGCAATCTTAACGATCCTGGAGGCCAAAATCACTAAGGGAAGATTGTGGAGAATCAAGGGTTGCTCCCTACTTACAGTCTCCCTTGGATGAGAAATGTCAAGTCCTTGGTGTTGCAGGAGAGTGGAGCCCCACTCTCCTGAAGGTACAGCTGCACCGGTTCCTGGGAGCTATGCCAATGATGAAGATAGCTTTCGCTTTTGCTGCTAACTAAACTGCTTTCAGAGACACCAGTTTATGGTCATCGAAAGAAGCTGAGTCAAAGCTGGGGGGTTTCTCCAACAGGCTGCTACTTTTATACTAGACGGACTCAGCTTGATGATGTCATCAGGAGGAGTCATACCCATCCTGGGCTCTCGCAGCAGCACGGAGGAGAAAAGAACAATACGAGACAAGGAGGCTTGACACAATTCTTTCTAGCCTTAAATAGCATCCTCCTCCACTTGCTAGTTTATTGCAAGGGTTCTTTTTTCCTACTTTAAAAAAAAGGAGTAAAGTGCAATTAAAAAAAATAGGTAATGTGTATTTTCAAAGCTGGGCTATTATGATTTCACCTCAAAGCAAATGTATTAAACTGAACTGCATTATTTAGTATTCTAATACTTAAATATATGCATGCACTCTACATACATGCTGGAACTGAGGTGGTGGTTCCAGAGCTTTTAAATAATTTAGTCCACTGAAAACATGAAAAGGAAACACTAAAGAAATAGTCTTCCTACTAGGATAATGTGAAGCAGACTTAATTTTCTATGAAATGATTATGTATGGTTTTACAATGAAGACTTTATTAACAAGAAAAACCTAGCTTGTATGGAAGGTGGGAGTGCTTTTCAACAAGGAACAAGATAAGGTAAGCTTTTAAAAAAAATAAAAATAAGGGTACACAAACATACAAAAAGGTGATTAGAAATAAACCCTGGTCTTTCAAACCTACTCGTCCTATCAAATGATTTACTTTCTATGCTTTACTAAATTGCAAGAACCTTTCTAGATAGTTTTCGGATTGCACACATCTGAAATATAATTCAAACAAGCTTGTTTTTACCATCAAATAACCAATGTAAGGATGACTGACATAAAATGCAGCACCTATGTATCACTGAGGTCTCATTATGTATCCAATCACAACAAAAAACATTGTTGTTATCTTACTACAGGTAATCCTCAACTTATGACCATAATTGACCTAACATTTCTGTTGCTAAGCGAAACATTTGTTAAGTGAATTTGCACCATTTTACCACCTTTCTTGTCACAGTTGTTAAGTGAATCACTGAAGTAAAGTTAATAATACAGTTGTTAAGGGAACCCCATTGACTTTGCTTTATGAGGTCACAAAAGTGATCATGTGACCCCAAGACACTGCAACCATCATAAATATGAGTCATTTTCCAAGCGTCTAAATTTTGATGATGTGACCATAGAGATGCTGCAGCGGTTATAAGTGTGAAAAATGCTCATAAGTCATTTTTTTCAGGACTGTTGTATCTTTGAATAGTCACTAAGTTAAGGAGCACCTGTATTATGCTGTGATGTTTGAAGTTTTCAGTGTTCAATCTTTCATTTTTATTTAACCTTTTGTCCACAAATTGTGAGGAGTATATAGAGTTATTCTCTGTTCCATTTTATTCAAACACAGCCTTTTGAAGTTTCTAAGGCTAATAATTTGGCTAAAGTCATCCAATGAATGCCAAAGCTCAGTATTAGATATCCCCAACCTAATTCAGCACTTCAACAATTGCTACCTACATTACCCCACATAATGGCATTAAGGTCTAATACATTTCAAAAACTTCATCAAGAATGTTTCTGGTTATGTAGAGTCTTGGTGTATCAGAATTTTTTAATTCTATGGCAACTAACTCAGAAGAAAAAAAATATATTCTGCACTTTACTGAACTGAAAATCTTATCTCCTGGAACTCTTATAAGACTGCAAATGTGATACTAACATTCTTTCAGAAAAGTTTCAGAAAGGTCTACGAATACAGCCACTATTTTTTCTACGATAACAATTTCTAACATGTCATTAAGTTGTTGAACCCAATCCAACACTATACCAACTATAAAGCAGCTTGTTCCTTATTGAAAAACCATTAAAGAAACAGAAGGAATAGGCTCAGGTTTCTGGCCAAATTTTCATCTTAAATCAAATATCTGTTCCAGACAAAGATCATCTGCATACCTACTCAAAAGACTAAATATTGTTAACACTTGATTCCACATATATCCAACAGACTGATTTTTCACTAAACAACATTCCCCTTTATTCCGATCCATCTAGGTTTAGTTTCCACACGTCTTGCTGTTTTAATTTAAAAATAACTATAGCGCTAAAGTTCTAGTAAAGAAATAGTCTTCTTTTTCCATATAATTTGTAGTGTTTTGTCCAGATGAAATTTATTTTAATTAGTAGGTCCACAAACAAAGGCAAAACAATACAGTATTGTTACTGTAGAGAGACTTTAGCATCCTTTGTGAGATAATAATCACCTTTAAGCTTTGGTATGTTTATTAACTAATGCTGGATATGCATTAGGGGAAAAAGGGAAATAATTTCAATTAGTCCTTGCATCCAGGGAAGCAATAAATCTCTCTTAAATACTGTCAAACTTTTTACAAGGATGCCAGAAAAAATGAGCAGCAATAATTTCCTAAAAGAGAGCCAACTTTGTCCTCTCCTGCTGTCCTATTACAAAATACAATTTAAAGGCCTTTTCAAGCAGAGAGGCCATTAATAAAGCTATTAAAAATAATGCTGAACTATAATTAATGATCATAATGATCCTGATCATATGATTTCACAGGATCTCAAACAGAATTGGAGTAATAATATTATGGTTAAACTAAAGGGTACTAATTTTTTTTCTGCACAGATTTTTTTTAAAAAGTTCATTTCTCCATTATTTCTTATAATTTAATATGGGGCATAAATGTTATAAAATTCCAGAGCTGTATATAGCTATTCGCATTTTGCAGGGTAATGCATTTTAATTCACCAGATTTTTACTTCATTGTTGCAGATTCTTTCAGGCAGATTCCAGAATTGCAAGTAATAAAGAAAAAAATACAGGTAGTCCTTGACTTACAACCACATTTGGCACCAGAATTTGCATTGCTAACCAAGGTATTTAAATGAGTTGCACCTGATTGTATGACCTTTTTGCCACAGCTGTTAAGCAAATCCAGCTGCCCCCATTGACTTTGCTTGTCAGAATCCAGTTGGAAAAGTTGGAAATGTGATCACACGACTCTGGAATGCCGCAGCCATCATAATACATGTTGATTGCCATGCACCCAAATTTTGACCATGTAACCATGGGAATGCTCTAATGGTTGTAAGTCTGAGGACCAATAAGTCACTTTTTTCAGTGCCCCTGGAAATTTGAATGACTGTTAAACAAATAGTTGTTAAGCTAAAGACCACATATAGTCCATTTGCATTATGTATTATGTAGGATGGAACTCTAGGGATTTAAAAAAATAAAGTCCAACTGCATAGAAACAAGTATTAAAACATTGTAAACTTATTTTGCTTGAGAATCGTCTGGTCCTTAGTAATTTTTTATTTATTTATATCATGTTTAATTCAACCTTTAACTCAAAAGCCTCCCAAAATATCTACCTTTAGACGTTGCGGGTGCTTCATTACCGGAGTGTTTTAAAAAGAGACAGCACAGTCATTTGTCTGAAAAGATATAGGAGCTGGACTAGAGGACCTCCAAGGGTCCTTCCAGCTCTATTCTGATTCTGAAAACTATTTATCACACATAGATTCACTGGGTTTAATTCTACAGTATACATATCTAGTTGCTTGCTTTCTGGATCTTATATAATTTCAGCAATAAGTCAAACTCAGAATGCATTATTTTGATGCACAGAAATTTCTTCATAAATTAAACATTACATTTGTTGATGTTTTCACTATGGTTTAGGCATTACCTACTGGGGTACCTATTTACAATTACAAAGCCAT